ACATGCATGATATCACACATACAGTGAGGTTATTCTTAATGTTTGACTTAACTTGGTCTTTTTTTTTTAGCACAAGATGATTTTAGTGTAAAACTCTTGCCATATATTCCATTCAAATCTTGAAGGACTCCAGTGTGTTCAAAACTGTTACGTCCTTTTCATCCTTTTCACTGTACACATTAAAAGGCCAAAAAACGTATTATTATTTTTCCACTACTGGGATACATAGGCGTAATTTGTAAGGGGGTTAGGTGGGGTTATGATCCCCACATTAATTTGATCCAGTGAAAATAATCCCCTCAATAAAACAACATAATTTGCTCAAACACAATAGAAATGAACTGGTTGAGCACACAGATGCAACTCCCTTGTTTTTAGGYAACGTTGACCTGATTTAAAACATTGATGATGTCATGTAAATTCAAGCATAATAGCTGAAAATGACATGCAGGGTTTTAGAGCATATTACCCCCCCCCATGGTAGACCTAAATTTACACCTATAAGTTATACAATTAAAACTCTGGCATAAAAGGTGATATGTATTTCTCTCACAGCTTGAAGGACTTCAATTTGTTCCAAATTATTACAAAATCCTTTTCATTGTACAGATTAAAATGCCCAAGAATGTCTATAGGTATTATTAATATTTTCCGCTACTGGGAGAAGTTCTGTAATTAACTCTCTCCRTTATTCTCCACTGTGTTCACTCTACAGAGAATGTCACTGAGATCAAGACAAACATTTTTGTCACCAGCTTCGGTCCCGTGTCCGACACTGAGATGGTGAGTTTCTTTGCAGCAAACACCAACTGTAAATAAAAAAATAAAAAAAACTGGCCAAGCGGAGAAAACGAGCAAAGACGCAGAACCCAGCCAGACTGCTGTTGCATTTTTTAAGTGGAAACRCATATTTTTGGCGTCACGAGACCAATAATACCGCTCCCGGAAAAGAGAAGATAAAACAGTGTAAGGAAGTTAAAGTTTTATGATTTATCGCTACTTCAGCTTGTTCCAAAGGATTCACCCTTTCATTTTTCTTTCTTCTTATGAACTATAACAGAGATCTGCAACATGTATGATTGAAAGAGACATTTTTACCTTTTTTCCTAACAAATATTTGTATAGATCCACCAAATCTACTTAAAAATAGGATACATTTATTTGTGAAGTTCTATCTCTGTCTTAWCTATTCATATATATTCATGCACTATAGTTTAAGTTCGGTAGCAACGTTTAATCCAATTTAAACAGCCTTAAGTAMAATGCTTTTCTTAGAGGTTAGATCTATTTTTTTTCTTTATAAAAAAATATTTATCTGTATGTCAACACGTCACATTTTTGATGTCTTAAAATGTACAAAATTTCCATAAATGTGCAAAATTACATTCTGCTTTTACAGCCATTCACCCCAAGTTTGTTGAAAAATGTTAATTTCCTGTAGATTTTCAGAATAAGTGTTGGAAACAGGTATCAACCGGGTAAGGAGCAAGCTAATGAGTTATCGGCTCGACAGTAAAACTGATGATTGCATTTAAACATGTTTGGTGAAAACGCAAGCTAATTTTTAACAGCTGAATCCCTCTGTCTTATTTGTGTCTCTTCAATGAGGCTGGTAAAACTTCTAAAATGACTTATTTTCAGTTTAACAGTAAACATTGCTTATGTTGAAATGACTCCTGGTCAACGTTACGAGGAGTCACAGGTTCCAGACCGTTTAACTCGTTTAACTACCTGGATGGTGATTATATCTACTCGCTCAGAATTTTCTGTTACGTCCTTTCACAAGTGACACCATAAACTCGCCACTTTGGTGTCACTGAGCTGAAAAAATTGTCGTCACAGAAGCCCAATTGATTAACACTGTATGTTCCTTCAGTCCATTAGGTAGCGTGTGTCTGACAATTAACGGCATTACTCGGTTGGGTGGGGTGTTGTGCTAGCACATTACAAAGTTCATGATTTATTTGATAAGGAAAAAAATAACCAGTTCTGGTCCTGTAAAACCCAGTTTCCTTTTTTTCTCTTTGGCTCTCAGGAATACACCATAGACGTGTTCTTCCGTCAGAGCTGGAAGGACGAGCGGCTGTGCTTCAAAGGGCCCATGGAGATGCTGCCGCTGAACAACCTGCTGGCCAGCAACATTTGGACTCCCGATACCTTCTTCCTCAATGGCAAAAAGTCCATCGCTCACAACATGACCACGCCCAACAAGCTGCTGAGGCTGAAGGATGACGGCACCCTGCTTTACACCATGAGGTAGGCCATGACGTGGACTTTACCAAGCACGATTACAAATGACTAGATAGTTACGTAGCTTGGAATGTGCAGCTGAAGAAAAAAAACAAGCAGCAGGGTAAAGACAGAGCTTTGAATGCAGAGAGCAAACAGTGAACTGACAGGACCTGGTTGAGAGTGGCTCAAAATGAAGGAAAACAGCAGCATCTAAAGGCCAATCAGGTGAATCACACGCAAGTTAGAAAAATCCACATTTCAGAGAATGTACAGCCTGAATCCTTATTTCTGTTTCTAAACCAGATCWATCAGACAGTGTTGGTTAAATACAATAAAATAAAACTCTGCTACAAAACAGGGCTGTTAAAACCGTACCCTTGAGTTGTGGGCTTTCTCGAACTGATCCCCCCAAGAAATTTAGTTTAACAGTCCTGTCATGAATTTTACTGAGACAGAACTTTGGCATTCAAGTTCACATTTAACCGTTGTCTTTTTGTCTCCAAGGGATGGTTTGAGCTGAGAGATAATTCTAGGCTTATCCTCAAAGTTTTACTGGCTGTAGAATTGATTGTATGAAAGATGTGGTGCAGTGCAGCAAAACTTTGAGTTGATTATAAATTCTGGCCACAGATGTTTAACCACAGCGAAAAGAAATATGTTTGGATGAGTCAAAGTAAGGCTTTAATATCTCAGAACACTGAAACAACTATCAAACACAGTGGTGGTAGCTTCATGATAGTGTGTTACACAAAGCTTACAGACTACCAAAACAGGTCTACCATTACATTTATCACCGTAACTTCAAATTCGAACTATTTATACCCTAAAACGCTAAATCCACTTGTGTTTGATGGAACATCTCTTAACGAGCTGTACCTTATCAACAAACTGGAAAAGTCAAATATTACCACAGCATGAAGCTACTACCTCCATGCTCAACATATAAAACACAGTTCTTAGGAAGGAAAACTCACCTGGACCTCAGACTGCACTTTTAACTTTGACCCTGTTATTTAGAAATAGTTGGCTTCAGTCTGGGCTCTTTCTGGACCTAGACTGTTTTTAAATGTAATTTTCTGGCATTTACGAAGGTATATACCTGAATAAGATAAATTATTTAATTTGGTGAGAGAAGAAAACTAACCTCTAACCATTGGATGAAGAATGAAAGCCATATGTAAGTCTGGGAGTGAAACTGAGAGATGACAGTCTTTGGTGACAGAAAAGCCAAAATAAAAAAAAATGGCATCAGGGGTYGGATTTATAAAACTGGCGTACGCACAATATGAGCCCAGAAACTTGTGTGCGCCACTTTTTACACCAAGGTTGTGATTTATAAAATCCAAACTTGACGTGAAAATGTGCGGTGCCTCACGCCAGCTCTGACCCATGTGTACACTGATTTTGGAGACGTGAAACTGCGACACAGATGGTGAAGTGAGGAATTAGAGCCACACTGTGTAATGATCACTGTCAGATATTTAATTTACCTTCATCAGACTTAGATTTTTATTCAACTTTTTCATCAGCTTTCTTAACAGTAATATTTATGCTGCTGCTGCTGCTGAGCCATGAGGACCTTTGAAATAAAAAAATAAAATCTTAAATAAAAGTTCCCATGTGCAACTCCCTTCATCTGCTTCTTCCTCATGACCCTGACCCACAGACCCCTCCCTGACCCACAGACCCCTCC